TTTAAGCTCTGGGGCATTACCATTCATATATCTCTTAGTCATTATCATTTAATTGTAATTTAAAAAACGATTCCTACAAATGAATCAAAAAAAAAAAACAACAGCAAACACTCCAACTTAAATACGTTTCATTAAAAATATGTGCAAGCATTACTTCTAGGGGGAAAACATGAGAATTCCTTTAAAGGAAATGCAAAATTAGAATGTAGGTATTATCAATTTACATTAATGTAAGGAACGTATCTCACTCCCCACCCCCCGTAACTCTCGTGGCAACCAACAATCACCCCAGCGAGGGAGCATTTGTAATAGACGGATGTATACAAACTTTGGCAACAGTTGCTTGCTTGTTGTTCAGTGCCCACCTAACAAATTCAAAACAAAATCTTTAGCAGTAACAGAATATTCTCATTTCGCCTTTGGCATCCTCCAAAGCCCAGCATCAAATCACCCGTTAGGAAATCATTTTCCATACCCACAGCACCAGCAGCGCAATTGAAGGGAGCATCCATGAAAAGTGGGCAAAACAACCACTCCTTTTCCTTCTTGCAAAAGGCATCTTTATTTCGCCTGCAAAGAGACCTCGAACAATCACCCGTAATGCTTATTTCTATTTCTTCTCGATTGCTCAACAATGAAGCGTACACAATTAAAATATGGCGTTCAGGGCGCATGTCCACGCCACTGATAACCAATCAGAGAATTGCATTCACTTTGGCGGCAGCAGCAGCTCGGTAAATAATTCAAGACTTCATTGCTGTTGATGGCATTGGTGGGCACACTACAATGGCTACAATTACCGCAAGATGTGGGTATTGTTGTTGCACACACGCACACACATCCGCAACCATAGCCGGTGTAGCAGAACAGGTATTGAATGGTGTTAAAAAGTGGGCGTTAACTGTGAGCACCATTAATAATAACTGGTTTTCATTCACAAACAAATAAATGGAGTGAGAGAGTGTGTGTGTGAGAGAGAAAAAAGTTTGGGCACTGCAGCAGACGCTTTCAAACTGTAAGACTCTATGAGAGTACAAAGAGTATGAAATTTACTACTCTTACCATTTTGGGTTGATCATGCATCCTTTGAAGAGAGACTATCTCGAAGAGATGCATGCCACACTGCAGAATAATTAAAAATGGCCACACGAATGTATTTCTTGGTGATGAAAAAATATTCAACTTATTGTTTTTTACAGTGAACGGACTGCAAAAGACGTAAAATTTTATAATTAATTCTAATAAATAAAAAATGTTGTAACTATATTCATATAACCTCAAAATTCGACCATTTCGAATTCAAATTTATTATTACATTAAATTCAAGGTAGTCTAATTTAAAATCCTGCCTCCTTTTAACTAAATGGGCAACTTTTACTTAGTATTCATAAAATGGATTTCTTTTTTGTAAGGGAAAATATCGTTTTATAAAGTAGTTATTTTTTACCTAAAAATTGGTTCGGCGTGGTTATTGTACATTTTTATCCACGCAATATAGATAAATTAGTTAAATAAATACTTCGTCTTATTAAAGATGTCAAAATTTGGCAGACCTACAGTTGGTAGTCCCGCCATACTCACTTTGAAGATTAAAGAGATTCTCTTCTAAATATGCCTAAAAGTAGATAAACACTGCAAATCATTGTACTTGTTAATTAATATTTTAAAGTATTTATTTAAGGTTTTTTATAAATAATTTACAAAAAAACTGTTTCGCAAGAGTAAAAAGTTATCTTGACACGTCTGTAATATTTTTTGTTTTGTTAATATTAACATAGTTATTTTTTCCTTGAATGGCACAAATGACACGCTAAATGACCCCCATAGACAAAATATGGAATTCGCTCGTGCTTAAAGTCTTTCACTGATAAAAATAAAAATAAAAATTTCATTGGAATAAATCATATTTTCTCAACGAAGTTTTCAAAAAAATTGCTAAGAAACATCTTCGAAGCTAATATAAGTTTATTTTCACATTTGTTCATACAAGTTCTAATTTATTTGATTTGAAATATTTTTTTTACTTAATTTTTTACTATCTTTGGCTGGATTCTTCGTAAAAATAGGACACATGCTTAGATGCAAGTCGATCAAAATTAGTAAAAATCGGTCAAAATATAGCTTTGTTCCCATATTTATGTTTCATCCAATTTCATATGTAAGTCCCCAAAAGTAGCTATAATATTCGATACAAGACATCAGATTCGTCTTAAAAATATATTTGCCAAATTTTGTCGAGCTCCATTTGATTCCCTAACATATTTGCCTCTAATTTTGGATAAATGACGGCCGAACTATCCTACGTTCATCCAATGAACGTGTAATACATTGTTCTTATTGGTATTGCAATTATATTTTTCGCTTTTAGAATCACGAACTAGAATCAAACCGATTCTACGGCATGATTAGTAATTCGTAACATTATTCTCAATTTTAAAATTGTTATTCCTTGATTTTTATGAGATTTTGAACAAATATACAAGAAATATGCACTGATATGGGCAGAAGAGATTTTTAAGAGTAATTGTATCATTAATCGTACCTTCTTCTTTAATATTTTAATTTTTTAATTAATTGATTATTTTTCTAAAAATATTGTTATTTTGAATATATTTTTGTATTTTTCTATTTTTAAATTCGACTGGAGAGACCCCTGTCAAAATTATTTTTGTCAACACAAAAATTCACAAATTTATCCTTTCTTGTATCTTGTTTTTTTGCTGTAATTCATACTACTGAGAGAACAAAGTGTACTTTCGTTTCAAATGCAATACAAATCTGCGAAAATGTTACCTTTGATTTTTGACCGGTTTGCCATGTATTTTGCGCCCTCTGTCATAGATGACAGGTATTAAAAAAATCACTAAAAAGTTGTGGCCCATATTACCCGCTAAATATTTTCTGGTGGATATGCAAAATTCAAGGCTTCTGTTCTGTCCTGAACCTTAACCGCAGTTGAATTCCCAATTTGTCTTTAATTGTGACCTGTAGAGCGACTGCAAAACCAGGAAAATTTTCAGTGTTGATTCATATCAATCCCCTTAATGTTTACCGAACATCTTCAAGAACAATATTATATTCTGATATTCTGAAAGTAACCTAACCCCTTTTCGTTAGGATCGGACAATAATTGCGAACTGTATATAGTATTTCCGATATAAAAAATAGACACAAAAACAAAATAGATACAAAATAGATACAAAATAGAACAGATTTTATTCTTTTCTTTTATGAATTGGTTAGAAATGTCGAAATCAGCTCTATTTGATATATTTCGCTGAGTATCACTGTGGGTAACAAATACAACAAATCGGATGAACAGTATATATGAGAGCTATAGCTATATCTGAACCGACCTTCACCAAATTTGACATACTAGCTTCTAGTCTCAATTCGGTCATAAGTGCCAAATTCCATCCCATTGGACAAATATTAGACGTTTGGTGCACAGTAAAAGGTAAATCGGACGAAATTATATATGGGAGCTATATCCAAATCTGAACCGATCTCGATAAAATTTAGCAAAGGTATTTCTGAGCTGTATTTGATATATTTGCCTAAATATTGTTATTACATAGTGCATATTGCGGCTGCGGAGGACAAGAATAACAAATCGGATGAACAATATATATGGGAGCTATAGCTATATCTGAACCGATTTCGATCAAATTTGGCATACTTATTTGCAGGCCTAATCTGGTTGTATACTATTCGGGCTGATATTACACGTTTGGTGCACAATAAAAGGCAAATCGGACGAAGATATATATATGGAAGCTATATCTAAATTTTAACCGATTATCTCTAATTTAAATAGGGTTCGTCCTTGAGTCATACAAATGTTATTTGGAAAATTTCATCTCAATCGAATAATAAATGCGACCTGCATTTTGTTTACAAAAATACATGGACAGACGGACAGACAGACGGACGGACGGACATGCATAAATCGACTCAAAATGTGATTCTATGTAGATCAACAAAAGGAACTATGGGTCTATCTCCTTTCCTTCTTCATGTTACAAAGAAATGCACAAAGACATAATACCCTTACCACAATGTGGTGTAGGGTATCAAAATAACTTCCATGTTTGAGCTACAGATTTAAAGTAAAACCCCTTTAATAACTTCTTTGTGTTTGTAATGGTTTATTTTTGCTAATAATTAATACTTGCTGTTTTTATTAAACAATTAAAAAAAATAAAAATTGAATATCTAGTATTTTGTTGCTTCTAATATTTAACGATCTTTTTTAAATAAACTTTACTATTTTTCTTTTACTTATCGTCATATTAACGATTTTCCATAAAATCATCCGGCAGCTTTGAATTTTTGCTCCCGTTATCGGCAAATTTATTTCAGATCATCTTAATATATTTATCAGCAGTGTAATCTATCTCAACCCAATTGTCCAATAAGAATCCGAGCAAACTCTCTCAAAACTACTCAAGTTTGAAAGGCACTGAGTGCCACAAATGAAACTCTCTTTCGACAACAACTATTCAACTACCGTTACTTTCACGCCTACCCACAAGAAAGAAGAGCATAACAATAGAAACAAAAGGAGTCCAACTCTGGCCAAAGTAGTAAGAAAGGAATAGGGTGGCGTTATTGTGTGTGTGCGTGGTGTTGTTGTCCATTGTACGAAGATAATGAAGTGATGATGGCAATGAATGAAAGAACACTGGGTTGGTTGCCTAGGTAATGAGTATTGAGTGAGTGGTTGTTCTCCCTCTCTTGACAATACTTCTTTATTTCTGAGTGTTGCTTGGCATTGTGTGTGTGTTGTTATTGCATTGTGCCCTATTGTTTGTTTATTTATCTTTACTGTTTACTCCTGCTGGCTGGCTGGCAGGCTGACTGCCTATCTTGTCTGCCCTGCCTGTTTAACTTGGTTCTGTGTGTGTGTTTGTCATACTCTTTGGCCCTGTACTGTGTGGTGTGTGTGCAACCGATGATCGTATCGTATGTTGCCGATTTAGTTACACATTTACCACAAGACGGCACAGACAAACAGCCAGCGAGCGACGGTATTGACGGCATCGCGGTAGTGGTCGTGTTGTTGTTTTTTTGATTTGATGTTTTCTTCATGGTTTGTTCTCTCTCTCTCCCCATCTGTGGCAAACGAACGAATGAATCGACAAACAAAAGAGAAGCGAAATCGGTTAGTGAGTGAATTCAGTTTAACGTTTCCTGTCTTTGCGTGTGGTTGGCTAAACGAAACGATAAAACAAAAGAAACGGATAAACGACGTCTCGTATTGAAATTTTGTATCCTCCGATTACAAAAACAAACAAAAAAGATACCCATAACAAAATAAATTCAATACAATTTGTTGTGTTTTTATTAATAACCCTTAAAATAGAAAAAAATTAAAATAACTAAAATAGCCGGTGACGGAATTAAACAAAAATAAAAAAATATCGAAATATTTTGAAAAAAGTGTGGCAATACGAAAAATCGAAAAAAGTATTTAGAAAAAAATTCAACGAATTGAAAATTGTTTACAAAAGAGCATCAGAAAAATTTTGCAAAAGAAAGAGAATTATTTGAAAAATTCCTACCCATTGTATTTTCTCATTTTATTGTTACAAAAATTTAAAGAAAAATTGTTTAAAGTGCAATAATTTAATTTTATTTGTTTTCTGCGAAATTATTAATTACAACATCTATGAAAGTTGGATAACATCGAATTTAATCAAAGAATTAAGGTAAATATTGAAAATTATTTAAAATGTCAAAAGACTATAGATATGACAATGCCGACGGCAAAAGCACGGGCCATGAATGATTGAATGAGTATTTTTGGGTCTATAAGTTGTGGAATAAAAACTCAATAAAATAACAAAAAATACAAAATTATTGGATATCTAAAGGATCTAGACTCCAATCCATGTGGATTACGCCATTTCATATTTCGATAAGTAAGAAGGATAGTTATTGCAGAGTTAATACTTGTAAATAAGTATAAGTTCTTAAAACATAGGAATTTATTCTAACACAAGGAGGTTTCGAAAGGTTAAGCTAAGAAAGCACGGTTTTGAACAAAATCAATGGTATAGCTTCATATACCTGAGTGGTGCCTATGAGTCCTTCCACATCAGCGTTGAAATCAAAAATGGATGCCAATGGGACAGAATATAAACTTCCTAAAAGAAATGGATAAGAAGTGTCTAAAAATACAACTTCCGTCGTTCCCAGTTCCCTGCAAAATAGGCGTCTTTTATATTGAAATTCTGGATATACCTACGCCATTCACTCGCCTCAGAGACTCTGATGCCTCCTCAGTACTTACTTTTCTAAAGATTTTTAAATATTTACCTGAAAAAGCAATTTATTTAGTTGCCCCCACTGAAAAGGGGTCCAGATAAATTTCTGGGTACGTTACTCGGGTTAAAGCTCAACGACAAAATCTCGAAATCATATCATATAACTTAAACCTTGAACTCCGGATCTCTATGTGGCAATTATAATTATCTCAGTGATCAGCTCGTTGGTGAGAGGAGTGCCCACAGCAGCAAGCTGAGATTTATGGCGTTTATATTTGCCTCTTGTGTAATTCCGAAGTACCGATTTTTGAAAATATGCGTCCATTCTGTGTAATAAAATTCAAAATTACAAAACATTCACCTCTAGAAAGGAAAATTTTACCGACGGCACAATTAACAACTAAAAAAACTGTAAGTTCGGCCGGACCGAACTTTGAATACCCTCCACCATTTGCAACGAATTTGGCAATTCTCAAAAACAACAAAATCCGTTAAAAATTCTGTTAAAATCTTAGAAATACCGAATGTAGCTGTTATATGAGGGTCAATACGACGACATGGACCTGCATAGGTAACTTTTGTCATAAGCCATTACAATATTCAAAAGCGAAACTTAGAAACTTGCACAGACAATTTTCTGTCTTAGGCTGTAGTATTCATTGCGAACATACCAAATTCGAAACAATTCCGGTGAATAATGTCGCTAAAATCATCAAAATACCGAATATCGGGAGATACCGTTATATGGGGGTTATACCAAAACGTGGGGCTACATGGCCCATTTTCAATACCAAAAGTCCTGCAGACATAATATACATTTGAGTAAAATTTTATCAATCTACTTCAAATCGTTTGGAAGCTAGAGTGGATTCCACAGACGGACGGACATCGCTAAATCGACATAGAATTTTTTCCTGATCAAGAATATATATACCTTGTGGGGTCGAAAATGAATATTTCGAAGTGTTACAAACGGAATGACTAGCTTAATATACCCTTCATATTATGGTGGAGGGTATAAAAACGAATAGCAACAATGCACCGAAATAAAATGTCGGTATGTCCACTGAAATCAAAATACGGTCCATATGATTTTCTGTGGAGCCTGAAATTTGCACTAAGACAAGTAATTTTTTCTGGTAAGCCCCCAGAAATGGTAGCCCTCCCTTTCATTGGTATTTTCAATTTGTAGCCACAGTTTAAAACTGAATCAGCTGCAATTTCTCCTCAAGATTCTGTGTATGCTTAGCATTTGTTAAAGCCTCCATATATAACCACTGATCTGTTTTAGCCTTTTTTAAAGTCCTGATAATTTTTCCAGTCTGTAATTTGACAATTTCAATTGTTAATGAGCAAAAATTGCTCAATGTAGCCCCCATAAAATGGGGGATATTTTGAACGTTCTATCCACATTTTTCAACTGAATCGAACCCAATTTAGTATTTTTATAGGTTGTGAATTAGCGACCAAGCCCCAAACTTAAGGGATTCTAACGTAACAGTTGAAACTTTACATAGTGGAAATTATAACAAGTAAAAACCGGTAAAAATCGGGCGGGCCGAACTTTTAATACCCTCCTCCATAAGTTAAAAACAACCTTAAAATAATAGTAGCAGGAGTGAATATTGGATCCACTGACATATTTGTCGTTGAAATGGATCGGTAACAAGTCTTAAAAATACCGTACCGATTTTCTGGTACAGTGGATGTTATCTATCGCGAGTTACAAATACCAAATTAAAAATAAAATTAAAATATGACTTATGGGTGATATAAGAAATAAGTTTTGTATTTCAGCAGCCTTCTGTCACAGATAACAAACCCCATTATAAACTCTACATACCGAATTTTAAACGATTCCGCTGAAAGATATTAATAAAATCATCAGAATATCGAATATAAGGAGGTAGGGAAATACGAGGACTATAGGAAAACGTGAAATTATGTAGACAATTATCTGCCAATAGAGGAAGCACCCATTGCAAACTCTAAATACTGAATTTTAAACAATTTTGTAGGGAAATATGACCAAAGTCTTCAAAATACCGAATATCGGGAGGTACAGTGGACGAAAACATAGACCAACATGTCCTACTTGCGAACTTAACCCGTATATCACACACATAACCCGTCTATACACATATGTGCAAAATTGTAGCCTTCATCTCAATCCGTTCGAAAAATTGTAGATAATCGACAGGAACCACGAAGATACAGGGTGGGATGAAAAATATGCAACCAACTTCAGACTGCTGTCATTTCTAAGCCACTCGTCCGACAGCTGTTAAAATTACTCCAGTGACAGCTCATTTTGCTCATATTGTTTACTAGCGTACAAAGGCATTTTGGTGAGAATTTTCCAGATTTTTTTATATTTGGCTGGAAAACCACAAGTAGCTATCATTAGAGCACTCCAGCATTTAAATGTGAATAAATCTTTTGTGTCTCATACCATCGCTCGTTACCGTGATACTGGTGGCATAGCCCGACGTCAATTAAGTGGACGGAAGAAAACAGCATCAGCAGAAATGGCCGAAAAATGGCTCGTGAGCTGAACATATCGCAATATTCCATTCGGCAAATATTGAAAAATTAGCTCGGGGTAAAGCCATTGAAATTCTAAAAAATGCAAGAACTTACATCGCAACAGAATGAACATAGACTCAAAAGAGCTAAAGAGTTGCTTCGCTTGGCCGAAAGTGGTTATCTGCCGAATTTGGCGTTGAGAAAAGATTCGTTGTCCAGAAGTTTGTAAACAAACAAAATTATCGTGTTTACTTGCCAAAGAGGTCAGCTTAAAATTGGCACCTTCAGTTCACCACCAGAACTCAAGCGCCGGCCATGGTGATGGTGTGGGCCGCCATAACAGCCGATGGTCGCTCTCCGCTTGTATTAATCGACCGTGACACCAGAATAAATGCCGAATATTATCGCGAAAATATTCTGGAGGGTGTATTTTGGCCGCAGACCTTGGACATTCCAACAGGACTCAGCACCATAGCAATCAGCACGCGCCTCCCAAGAATGGTTACAAAATGGGGTTCCTCGCTCCATTTCCAGCGAACCATGGCCACCAAAATCTCCGGATCCGATCCAATCCGTTGGACTATTGTGTCTGGAGTATTTTGGAAAACAAAGTTGGCATTTAAAAATACCAAAGTGTCGATCACCCCAAGCAAGCTCTTCTCCGGGAATGGGCCAAAATACCGCAGGGCAATAATTCGTGCCAAAGTTGACCAATTCGAACAAATCTAAACTTATTCTAAAATTTGATGCTATTTCCAACATTTTTTGCTTTCATCCAAAAAAATTATGGCGTTTGACTTTGTTGCAGTTTTTTTATCTCGCCCTATACGATAAACCCTTTTAAGGTATTTTTGAGGTTTTATCCATATTTCGTTCTTTTGCTGTAACTGTTTATATAGTCCAAATTGTGTTATAGACTCCATCAGGAACGACTTTTTCTGTCTTTGTTTTTTTTTGTTTTATTTTTACATAAAAGAGTTTTAAGACCATTGAACCCACGTAAGTGTACCTCCCAACATTTTTTCTAATCTAAGCTGACACATTTTTTGACACAAATTGACTACATAGGTCCAAGTTTTCATTTAGTTCCCATATACTTTTTTCACTTCCCGATATTCGATGTTTGGAAGACTTAAGACCTATTTCCAAGGGAAACAAATTTGATATTTGGGCTCTTTATGACAGAGAGGTATCTATTAGGTCCACTTGTTCGTATATCCCCATTCAAAGGTCCTCCGGCTATTTATTGTTTGAAATTTGGTATTTGAAGTTCGTAATTGGTAACTTCTCCTCTTGAAGCTAATTTTCTCTATAGGTCCACTTTTTCGTACAGTCCCAATAATATCAGAAATAACATATACCTCTAGAGTACGGGATCTTGATTCTTATAAAAAAAAATTCAAAATGTTGGGGGTAGTAAAAATTCCTTCCGGCCTTTTTTACATTTTTAAACTTCATCATTGCTGTTTTAAAGAATTTTCCTTAAAAAAATTCAAAAATAACCCATCACCGTCACAAATCTATCAAATTTATTTCAAAACATCGTTGACTAATTTACACTTCAGCATGAACTCACAAAGTGTTGTCTTGTTCTCTTACAATCTCACCTCCTCCTGGGAGGAGGAGGAAAAGAGATAAATGAATTACATGTAAATGCAATGCAGAAAATGCACGCCGTGTGATCTAATAACGCCCACAATATTACCTCAGCAACAAGAACAACAACAACAGACATTAATAATAATATCTTGAAAATAAGAGGAGAAGAAGAAGGTGAAGCTGACTAAAAAAGAAGAAGCATGAATTGCATCCCAGAGGAATGGGAACACGAAAAACATGCTGAAGAATATTTCATCAAAAGAACTAAAACAAATCTCTTGGAAGATAAAGAAGTGTAATGTTGTGGCCTCTTGCGG